GCCGACGGCGGCAGGGACGGCGCCGGGCATGGTGATGGTAGAAGGAGCAACGGCGGGTGGCTCGGTTGACGGCAGGGTTGGTGACGATGGCTCAGGCACCGGTGGGGTTGGCAGCTGTTGGAGGGGCGACGGCGGTGACGGTGATGTTGGAAGGGGTGACGTCGGGTTGCTAGGGCGATGGCGGGGTTGGCGACGGTGGCAGAGGTGATGGCGGCAGCGGTGACGGCAGGGATGCATATGGCGACGGTAGCTCGGGCAACGGCGGGGATGCATATGCCGACGGCGGCAGGGACGGCGCCGGGCATGGTGATGGTAGAAGGAGCAACGGCGGGTGGCTCGGTTGACGGCAGGGTTGGTGACGATGGCTCAGGCACCGGTGGGGTTGGCAGCTGTTGGAGGGGCGACGGCGGTGACGGTGATGTTGGAAGGGGTGACGTCGGGTTGAAAGCGGCAGGGGCGACGGCGGTGACGGTGATGGTGGAAGTTGCGACGGCGGGTAGCGGTAGCCTGGCATAATAATAAGCAAAAGAAACGAAGGGACGGGGAGGGGCAGGGGAGGGGAGGGGGGAGGGGGGGTTGTAGGGGGGGAAGAGGGTTATGAGGAGGCGGGAGTGTTGTTTTAGGTTTTGCTTTGGACTTTCCCTCCGTCAGTCCCTGGTGGCTTGTTCGCCTCCCACACAGCCAAGGGACTAAGAGGTGTGCTTTGGCAGGGACTCATGGCGGATGGAGGACTATCTGCACTTCATGCTGGTGTTCTCATCCCACATCTTCATGGGCATTTTGCCCAAGCTGGAAGAGAGGATGTGGGCCCACCTGGACGCAGCTGTAATGCATTACTTCACTCCGTGTCAGTATCGCAGCCACAAGGTGTTTGTGGAGGCAGCAGCAAAGGCTCGGCAGCACCTGCTTGAATTTGCCACTGTGGCTGAGGAGGATGAATTTCCGCTGGGAACTTTCGGTCTGTGTCCTCGGAAAGTTGTCCATCAGCGCTGCTGGTACACCCTTGACTTGGGTGGGAAGAGTAAAATAGTGCAGTGGCTGTGGTTACGACCGAGTGGCCTCATTACGACTGACTCGGCTGTCAACCCCGGACCCCACAGAGCGAGGAGTCGCTTGGA